TGAGACCAATAATAGTTTATAGAAAAGAATTTTAAAAAATTAAGCCCAGGATGAAGGCAATCATGTCATGCTAATTCCTAGGGAGATAACAACCAGAGAGAGAGAGAGAGAGAGAGAGAGAGAGAGAGAGAGAGAGAGAGAGAGAAATGGGTCTTTGGAGAGAGTGCTCATAGGGGGAAGGCTGAAGAGGCTGGGTGGGAACAGCATCTGAGAATAACGGTGTCCCAGTGCTCAGAGTGAAAGGGAAACTTGGAGAACAGGAAAAGATAACAAAGCTGGGAAGCTGTGTAAACTGACCTTGAACTTTGTCCTTAGAGATATGGGGGAGTCATTGAATAGTAGGCAGGGAAGTACAATGATTAATTATAGCTGATTTATACAAATAATCCTGTCCAAATCCTTTATTGTAGATGATATAAAATTAAACCTCAGATTAGCAGAGACAGATTGTTACAGAGTCTGAATTTTATACCCAGGTAATTGGGTTTATCACATATTTCCAGCTACTTAATTTCAAAAGAGTGTGCTTTAATCCTAGAAATCTTACTGAAAAACTACCTTTTGACCTGAAGTTCATAATTTTTTTCCCCCATTTTATACTCAACAAAGTAATTTGTTCAGGACGAGTTGATTGCATAAACACTTTTCTCCTTTAAGAGCAAAATAGCTTCAACCAATAATTTGTCTAAAACCTTCCTTGTCTTTTTCAAACCAAATCGTCCCTGAGTTTTCATATGGTATAATTCTTGATTATATTTTGATATTTTTTCCCATTTAGTAATCTTGCCTATGTTTTTTTTCTTAAAGGTGATTTCCGCATGATTTTATGTTTTATTTCACTTTTTAATCTAGAGCACATTCATAGAGTTAGTGGTTTACAGACTTCATTGAGCCTCAAAAACACTTTGGGAACTTCTTTATTTTTATTTTTTATTTTTAGATGGACAGCATGCCTTTAAGGATCGAACCCAGTACCTCACACATGCTAGGCAAGCATTCTGCCACTGAGCCACAACCCCAGTCCCTGGGAACTTATTTAAAATGGAGATTCTTCACCTATTCCTTAGCAACTCTGATGTCTGAGTCAAGTGTGTGGCAAGCTTCCAGGTGATTGTAATACAGGTGTTCTGCAAGGACCATACTAAAAAAAAAAACAACAACCCTGCCTTAGGAAAAATCTGTTATTCCCCAACCCTGTAACTTCTACCTGAATATTTTTCAATAGCTTTCGGTGCCTGGGGAGCCCATGTTTTTTTAATTAAAATGTCCATTGGTCTATAGAACATTAGAACATTTTTAAGACCCTAACTGTAAGATTTTCTTAAATACAAAGAATCATAACATAATGTCACAGATGTTGGTAATTAAAACTAACCTTGGCCTTCAGATCTGTTTTTTGTTTGATTTTTACAGTATGTGGGGAAAGATAATTTTATTCTCAATATATCTGAACCTCTTTTATGATTCTCTTGCACAAGTTCTGGCAAAAGGAAATACATATCTCAAAAAGTTTAATGTGAAAACAAAGCAAAAAAAAAAATACACAAAAACAAAACACATTCAGAAGTCCTTTGTTCTAAACAAGTCTCTAATCAACTTGCCAAAAACCCTTGCTCAAGTCACTTTACACCTCTGTGCTCTGGGATTTCTATTTAAATGGAAGAAGTATTTAATCCTGTATATAGTTACAAAGCAAACAGACGTCTTCAAATCAAAGACAAAAAAAATTCAAAGAAAGTTTCAGGAGCCCAAAGACACCAGAATACTAGGGAGAGAATTGTGGGGTTTTCCTGCTAGAAAATGTCCTCTGAAATGAACTTACAGGTTGAGAAATTGCCCTCAGCCTGTGTTTAGGGGCAGTTGCTAAGGATGGAGTAAGGATTTGTTTTCATTTGAGCACTGTTCTAAAGAATGTAAATCTATCACCTGTTCTTTAATGACCCCATATAACTAACAGTGGAAAGAATTAACTCATTCATTTATCCAGATTAGAACCTAAGTCATTCATTTATTCAATAATTATCTGTTGAGCACTTCCTATTCAAGGCAGAATTCAAAAAAAGTATATGTACATGTTTATATATATACAACATATATAATTATAGATGGAGCAATTTTCTTGGATACCCCCAAAAGTATTAAGAAAGAAAGACCTGTGTCATATTTACTTTTTTATAACAGTATTTCTTTAAATTAAAATTGTCCTTTTTCATGTTTTAAATTTTTCTGACTTCAGTCTTTATCTTTAACACAGTCCAATTTGTTTTTCTTTGAAAACAGTTATTAAATCCACAGTCTTAAAATTGATGACACCAGCTGGGCGCTGTGGCACACACCTGTAATCCCAGTGGCTTGGGAGGTTGAGGGAGGAGGATCTCAAGATCAGAGCCGGCCTTAGCTAAGTCAAGGCCCAAGGCAATTCAGTGAGACCCTGTCTTTAAATAAAATATAAAATAGGGCTGGGGATGTGGCTCAGTGGTCAAGTGCCCCTGAGTTTAATACCTAGTATGCCCCACCACAAAAAAAAATTGATGATACCATAAGAGAAAGGCAGAGTTTGAAACTAAATAGCAGAAATTTTAGAAAGGACCTCCTGCCTTTTTATTAGTAATGAAACCAATACGTGTTCTGTGCCCTTATCCAGGCACATCAGAGCCACCTGCTTAACTATGGCTCAAATTCCCAAGCAATGTTGATGCTACAGGTCCAAGTTGCATTCTTTGAGTATCTCTGTACTATTACAGACCTCCATGGGCACAGTGCTAGCTCATAGTAAGTCCTTTGTTGAACAAGTTTCCCTTTCACTCTGAGCATTTGGGGACACCATTATTCTTCCTACACCAGACCCTTTCCCTCCCACTCTTCTTTCCTAGCATACATCGACCACTTAACAAATACTGTCATGTCATTACGGACAATGGAGAAAACAAATACACATAAGATACATTTCAGATTAGAAACCAGGAAGTTTAAGGAAAAACATGCCCTATCTTTCCTACATACATTTGTATAAAAAAGGTTGATGTGTGTTAGAACGATTAGGAATATTTCAAAAATATATGATTCATTTAGATATGATCTCAGTTTTAAGACAGAAAGTAAATCTAATACATAATCAGGGACATGGGCCTCAGAGGCCTTCCCTTCTCCACTGATGGGTAACAGACTTGTTTTTTCTTTAATCATAATTCATGGTGACTTAGCTAATTGGCAGGCACTGTACAAAATACAGAGATGCAAGAAGGCAGTGACTATCTTATGTAATCTTCATGATGCCCAGCAATCTTGAGGAGTATTTTTATCTTCAATGTTAGTAAAATACAAGTGAAATGAAGTTAGAAGATATAAAACTCATAAAAAGTCATAGAGCTAGTAAAGAAAGGACAAAGTTTGAGTCAAAACCAAGATTGGTCAAGCTGTAAAACTGATTTTCTTTTGATAAAGCAATGAGCTCCTTAGATATCTAAGGTCCCTTCCAGTTCTAATATGTATAATTTCTTAAGAAACAAGGAAGTTCTTTCCTGGACATCTACCTATCCATCTCATCTAGAATGGGCCAAATCTCAGTCTTCTCAGTTTCTTTCTTCTTCTCTGGATATAATACGTAGTTGCCAGCTTCACACATAGTAACTCAAGTAAAAATTCTACTTCCATTTATTTTACTGCCTGAATTTGTGGTGTAGAGAGAAAAATCATTCTTTAAAAAAGCAGGCCCTTCTGCCATGTGAAAACACAGCAAAAAAGATGCCATCTATGAATCAGGAAATGGACCCTCACCAGATTCTGACTTGACCAGAGCCCATGGTCTTAGACTTTCTAGCCTCCAGAGCTAAAAACACAAGGAACTTTGACTATAAACTAGAAGCCTCTGACCACTGCCTCCTGCAATTACTAGAATTTGAATAATCTTTCATTTCACCTTTCATGTGATTATGTTTGAAATATAGATAAACATTCACAGAAGTTTTATTTTTTTTACAGTGCTGGGATTGAACCCAGGGCCTCATGCATGGTTAGCTCTCCCTCGACCACTAAGCTAACTGCCCAGTCCCCTGAAAGAGTATTTAGTACTTTGATCCCACTCTACCATCTCTAATAACTTATTTGGCACACTGAGATGATCTAGAAGCAAATTATTTGAGTTAAATTGTTTTTGGTTCTCAGAATGATTAGGAATATTTCAAGAATATATGATTCATTTAGATATGATCTTAGTTTTAGAAAGTAATCTAACACACAATCAGGGACATGGGCCTGATAAATTTGATGAAAGCTAACTTTCCTTTAGTTGTGACTGTTAAAATTTATCCCCAGTTAACAGTATTCCTTATTATGAAAACCCTCAGATTGTTGAAAATTTGTTCTACAGTTATGTTACTAGCAATCATCTTTAACATTCTACTTGCTTTTATAGATGAAGACAAAAACATGTTTTAGAGATGACTGTGAAATGACTACTACTTGAGTTTGTTAGCATTTGCATACAAAATCTAAGTTTATTGACTAGTTATTATATTAACTAGTTTTCCTATCAAATAGTTTAGATTTTTAAGATACTAGTTTTGGAGTTATATACTTATTGAGAAAGTAAATATGTATTTTAACTTTATATAACATTGAGTTCACTCTTGCCATTAATTTACGTTAATAATTATAAAGTGACCCCTAAGTTTAAGCCTGCAATTGGCCCTACTACACTCTGCTCATATCTGTGATATGAGTACTTTCATAAATGAACTCTTTTTGCATTATCCCAACTAAAAAGCTGCCAGAACCTCTACTGATACATTTTGGAAGATTCTTCTCAGTTGTCACTATAACTATTTTATGAATGATTTAACTTGGTTTGCTTGTTCTTCTTTCTCCATAGTAATGAATCTTGGCTTCTTCCAATGAAGCTCAGATGGCGTGCAAATTTTTGAAAGGAAAAGTGCATGGAATTCATTCTGTTGAAAAAATTATAACTACATTCACAATCATAAATAAGAGAGAAGTCAAAAGTAGGTAAAATAAGGGCACAGCTTTATTTTGCTACAAGGCAGTAAGTACACTGTCATATCAAAAGTTCAGTGCTGGCCATCTTGCACTGAATGTTCTTAAGGCAGAAACTGACTATTGACCTCCGTCTTTGTCTCCCCCAGCTGCAAACGTAGTATCTGTGAGGCAGTTCCAAAACCATACACTTAGAAATCCCGGGGGGATGTTGATGGAACTCAGAATCCCTGAATTAAAGAACAGTCAGGGGTTGAAATCAAAACAAAACATAGGACATTGACAACATAGATCTCCCAAAAAAAGAAGTGCAATGCATGCTTTTTAAAAAAAAAACAATTACAAAAAAAAAAACAACACACACACACACACACAACAACAACAAATGCAAAATCTCCCAAACAAGTTTTCCAATGTATTACAAAAGGAAAAAAAAATTTATACATATAAAAAAATAAAACAGGTCTGAAATACTAGTGCATAGTCAATTATCTAACACCAAGTTTTTTTTTTTTTTCTTTTCAACCAAGCTCTACTGCTCCTCTGACACTAGCAGCATGTCTACAGGCTAAGACCATAGCAGCAAAACACATTTTTCATTTGGCATTTACAAAATTAAATTACTGAATAAAAATATAATTTTTTATAAAACTATTTCATACAGTAATAATTTTTAAAGCAAGCTAAAAAAACTCAAAATGGTTTAGTACAATTAATGTACCTCCAATGTTATGAACCATAAATGAGCATTAACAATCTCTATTGTCCTGTGATATTTTTCAACATTTATAGTAATGCTTTTACTGATTTAAAAAAAAAATCTATTCAAACGTTTAGTGATTTGAGAAAAGAGAAATACTGGAGTACCTCTTGTGTAAAATTTCAAAAAACTCATCATAGGCAAAAATACTGATCTGTTGGATCCTCTAAAATACAGATAAATCATTTTATGCTTTTAAAAAAAAATCTGCACAAGATAATAACAACTGGTTACAATTCATTACCTAATAATTTAGGTAAGACCGTTATTTATTTATTTAAAAAAATCCTTTTAGTTGAGTGAAATCTAATAAGATTTCATCCAACTAAATGCGCTTATGCACTTGGTGCTGCTCTCAACTGTTGTACCACAACAAAAATAGGTTCTTCACCCAATCATGAAAAGTTTCATGTCGAGGAATGACATATCCCAAGTCAACGTGAAGTGTTCTGAAAATCATAATGCTTTTCTGGAAACGTCTCACATAACCAGAGTCCGGGCTGAGAACGCGTTCACATATTTGCGAGCCTGACCGGAAGCCGTCATCTGATCCTCCATCTTTCCACAGGATGTGGGTTCCCAGGCGCTGCTACAAGGCTGAGGGGGGAAGAGGGTGACAGCAGGGTCAGACCAGGAAGCACACACGAGAGTTCAAAAGGGATTCCCAATCCCAGAAGGGCCAGCTGCCACATTTTGGATGCCAGAAGCAAGTGGTTGACACCAGGAAGCCTTTGTGGACAGATTTCAACTCCTTGACATCCAGAAACCCAGCATCCTTAAGTGACATTAATGGTCAGAACTGCTCACTCCTAGGAGAGAAACCCCACTCCAACCGATTTCATAAGATGGGGCCACGGCTTCATACTGGAATGCCTTGAGGCTGGAGACAAGAACAAGCATAATTCTCCAGACACCTACCATAAGCTTGCCTGGGCATTTACTCACTAAGCAAACTGGTGAGTGCTGGGGCCATGAAGCTCATGTAGGTGAAGGAATTGATCAATATCTGCTAAGCATAGTACATCTTTTTCACAATTAATTTAGAAATATCGGTTTCGCAGTATAGCTTAATTTTGCTATTTTTATTTAAACTTTTGCAGTGTTGGGGATCAAACCCAGGGCTTCACCCACATGCTAGGCAAGTGTTCTACCACTGAGCTACACCCTCAACCCTCAGTATGGCTTAATTTTTTAAAGATATACTCCATGTTGCCCCAAAGTAAAGTCTTAGTAAAGTATTTATGTCCCACTTAGTTCCCAAAGGGATTTAATAGGGTTACAAAATAAATACAACAGGTTTATAAAAGTGCAGAAAGCAGGATCACAGGGAATCAACATGCAGAAAATAAATAATATGAAACAGGGCAAGATTTGTACACAAAACGTCACGAAATGCAGTGCCCCAGAGAGATGTAGGCTGCCAGCAGTCAGTGCAGAGGGAAACAAACATAAGCAGGTCTAAGATTTGGTACCTTAAAGTCAAAAGCAGCCAGTGGCTCAGGAAAAAGCACTACTCCTGATCTAAAAGGAATTATCTTCCAAGGGACAAAAGAAGAAAAAGAAAGCCTTTGCTTTCCAGAACCTAAAGTGTCCTTTAAGAGATCAAATGCAAAGGTGTTTCTCAACAGGTGGAACCAACTTGGGAGCGGGGGCTATGGTGCAGGTGAACAGAGCATGGAAGATGGAGGGAGTGCGGGGCACTGCTGTAGGGAAAGGGCAAGAACAGGCACAGTTGAGATAGACAGGTGAAAAACAGGAGTGTAATCCTTGTGGAGAGAGAGCAAGAAAGAGGCAGGAATCTGAAATCTGTGCACTGTTGGTGGGGAGTATGGGGGGAGCAGGGGAGAGAAAGGGATACAGTGGTTAAATGATGGCATCTTACTCTGTGCTGCCAACTCATCTTAGAGTTTCAAAAGCCCTTAGTCTGTGCTGCCAACTCATCTTACAGTTTCACAAGTCTCATCTCATTTAACTCTCACAAAACAAACAAACAAACAAACCACCTGTGGTTTGTGAATTTGAACTTGGGTGGGATTCAGGAGCTCATACCCCTAATGAGTACAAGATGCTGCTTCCAGGAGAGCTCTCGTCAGGAAGAATGCAAGTGTCTTGATAGGCAATTTGGAGACTCAGTTACCAGGGATTTGGGATCCAGGAGGAAGTATGGAGGTGGGGTGTGAGGGTCATCAGACTTTTTGGCAAAGAGGTCTGATAATTTTGAATGAACACTGTACTGGTACAGTAGTGACCAGACATGAGCAAAGTTCCAGTGGTATAAGGTCTGCAGTGTCATATTCTTCTTTAGGACTAAGAAACTCAGGAAGTTTCTTAGTCCTTCCTGAGTTTCTTAGCTGTGCCATTTTCCCACCAATGTAAATAGCACAGTTGAGCACACATGTTTACTTTGAAAGTTCAGTAGCTCCATATGTAACTTGAAACACTACATAGCAAAATGGATTATCCTAGTATTCCCAAGAACTGAGGATCACAAAAATGACAAGACAAAGATGACAGATAGGTATTCTGGGTTGATTCTCACACGGAGTCATATTTACTATTTTCCTGAACAAAATCACCACGGTAGTTACAGCATTCTTTGAATCAGTTCTAAATAAATGATGTTTCCCTAGACTTGAGCATGTGGATTAAATATACATGTTTTTCTTGTATATATCTATCCATTCAAATTCTACATTTTAGTTTTATTGTTAACTGAAACACTAAATTGACACATGTGATTGATTTTAAAAAATAAAATGTAATGTTATCTTTTTAAATTATTGAGCAGTCATTGTGGCAAAATGGGACATGCAGGTGCTACTTGTGAGGTCAAAGGTCAGTATGGTTTATCTACCACTAAGTTATTTAGAGCTGTACTTAGAAGCAATGCATAGATAGATGCACACATCAACGAGCATGGATATTGGGAGTGCGGTAAGGGGTACTGGGGTTTGAACACAGGGGTGCTTAACCACTGAGCCACATCCCCAGCCCTTTTTATTTTATTTTATTATTATTTTTTATTTTGAGTATTAGGGTCTCACTAAGTTGCTTAGAGYTTCAAACTTGCAATCCTTCTGTCTCAGCTTCCAGACTCACTGGTATTACAGGCATGCCCCACCATGCCTGGCCAGAGGACAGATCTTAAAATAAGTGACAAATAAGGAAGCAGAATGGAATATCTTCATATACTAATATCTTATAAGTATATTTAAAATTTACATAGAAATCTATGCAAGAAAATACATATATTGAAGCAAATGAAGGGACAAGAAGAAGGAAAGTGAGAACAGATAAAGAATTGAACAGCAAACAAGAGGATTATTTCTGTTTTTCTGAGATTAAGAATATTTCTACTTAGCTGGGCTTCAATTAATATAAAATGCATTTTCCAAATGTGTAAATTAAAGTATCTTAAAATAATCGTATTTGCTTTTCCTACGCCTCCTGGTAAAGGTCAAGTTCCGATCCCTTGTTTCATCATATTCAGAACTCCCAGTCTGTTCAGGAGAATCTAACACTAAGGATTTTCAACATACTACATTTCCAACTTCATATATTTTCAATTTGACATGTGACTGTGATTTTTGACAGATTCCCCACATGGCTCATCACTTGATTCATATGTGGTTCTTCCTCCAGGCCCAGATATTTAAAATGACATTGATATAAAGAAGGTGCCATATATATTTTTTTTCATTTTTTTAATTGGTTGTTCACAACATTACAAAGCTCTTGACATATCATATTTCATACACTGGATTGAGCCATATATTTTWAATTAGTGTTTGGAGAGAACTTTTAAATAATCAGCTTCTCTTAAGACAAAGAGAATGTACTAAGAAACTAATGAAAATGACTGAAATATTCTAATTTCTTGACATACAACCCTGATGCTTAGAGCCTGGGATGGGCCAGGAACACCTGATTCTCCCAGGATAGACAAATACTGGGATGTACTGGCCACTGTGTACAGTAACAAAAAAGCCAGCAAGGCGAGCCAGGAATCCCCTTTTCTATATTGAGAGTACAAAGCAAGAACAACTTTCAACAATGAACATGACAACACTGGTCAGAACAGACACATACTGATGGTGTAATCACAAAGAAAAGAAGGTTGAGCACTCAAGTAAAAAAGAATGGCTCCCTTTCTCCCTTCCTACCTTAAACCCAGGGCCCTGCACCAACTTTTAAACAGAATAGCTTTGAAAAATATTAAATGACCTTGTCCTAGAAGAATATTTTTTAATACTGTCATATATATTTTTGTGCATCCTCCTTATTCCCTCTACCTAAATTTTAGTTTCGTTTACATGAGGGAACTGATAAGCATTACAGATTTCTGCCTCTGAATTCTTGTTCCATTACTAACCCACGGTGCTATTTCAGACATGTCACACCATCCTAATTCATTTCAACATTAATAATCCTATCCACACATCCTCCTCCCATTGCTGAAGAGTCACCTTGCTTATCCTGCAATGTGCCTTTCATTGCCCCTGGGCAGAAGTGAACTATAAACAGTCTGTCAAAGCTTTAACTGGGATATCCTGTTGAAGCACTTTGAATAAATACCCAGATCCTTCCTAGAAAACAGAAGAAGTGAAATGAGAAAAGACCATGTCCACAGGTGGTTTTCTGTCAGAATTAGATTATCTTCAAATTTCATTTAGAATCTGAGGTATTTTTCATCACACTGAACACCTGCTATTATGATCATATTCAGATAGCAGCTTCACACAACATTTACTGATGTCAAGAACCTGTGTTTTACAATTTGAAGACTTCATAAGAAATTCTTATAAACCTAAAAAATATTCTGGAATATCAAACTTGTGAGATGGTATTATGCTTTTATTTTGTTTTGTTTTATAATAGTAAGCCAGTATAAATGGTGTATGAAAGAATAAGAAATAAGAATTTTTTGATTATACTATTTAACCTATCTGAAGAAAGCACTTATACTGGACAAAAATTCCAAAGATCCAGATTCCTTGCCAGAGGGATATCTTTTTACAATGTATTAGTTGTAAGAGATAATATTGAAATCTTTGGTGATATCTTGAAGTCAGATCCCTGACTTCACACTTGAGCAGAAGTGTTGCTAAGGTAGGGCCAATGGATATTAAACTTTCCTTTGTATATTTCCCTATGTCATTTGCCAGTAAATGGATGRAACTGGAGAATATCATGCTAAGTGAAATAAGCCAGTCCCAAGAAAACTAAAGGCCGAATGTTCTCTCTGACATGTGGATGCTAACCCACAACAAGGGAAGGTGGGGAGGGGAAGAATAGAAATCCATTAGATTGGAAAAGGGTTGAAAGGAAGGTAAGGGAGAAGGATGGAAATAAGAAAGATAGTAGAATAAATCAGACATAACTTTCTTATGTTCATATATGAATATATTACCAGTATAATTCCACATCATGTAAAACCACAAGAATGGGATCCTAATTAGACTAAGGTATAGTGTGTGTGTGCGTGTGTGTGTGTGTGTGTGTGTATACATATATATAAAATGTCAAAATACACTCTACTGTCATGTATATTTAAAAAAAAAAAAGAGCCACAGGTGCTTAAACAACATATTTACCTA